TATTTTATGTGCGTATAAAGTTTTGCATTTGAATGAGCAGATTGTGTCACATTATTATTATTATACAGGATTTATATAGCACCAACAGTTTGCGCAGCGCTTTACAATATAAGGAAGACATTACAATCACAATTGAAATGTGACAATACAATTACAATACAATTCAAGACAAGATGGTAAGGAGGCCCCTGCCCGTGAGGGCTTACAATCTAATAGGGAGGGGCAAGTGTTACATGAAGAGGTAGCTGTGTGGGGAAGAATTGTCTAGGAGCATGATGGTTGAGCGGTTAGGTTGAGGTGGGATAGGCTTCCCTGAAGAGATGAGTCTTAAGGGATCGCCTAAAGGCAGTCAGAGTGGGAGATAGATGGTCAGGTTGGGGTAAAGATTTCCAGAGGATGGGAGAGTCTCTAGTGAAGTCTTGGAGGCAAGCATGGGAGGAGTTGATGAGGGAGCAGAAGGTCTTTTGAAGAGCAGAGGGGACGGTTAGGGTGATAATTTGAGACCAGGTTTGAGATATAGCCGGGGGCAGAGTTGTGGATGGCTTTGTAAGTGGTTGTTAATATTTTGAATTTTATGCTTTGGGCTATTGGAAGCCAGTGTAGGGATTGACAGAGGGGGGTTGCAGATTCTGAGCGGTTGGTTAGGTGAATGAGTCTGGCATTCATGATAAACTGAAGGGGATAGCCTGTGTAGTGGAAGGCCAATGAAGAGGGAGTTGCAATAGTCAAGACGAGAGATAACAAGTGAGTGGATGAGTAATTTTGCGGTTTCATTGGTGAGGATGGGGCGTATTTTGGAGATATTACGAAGGTGAAGGCGGCAGGATTTGGATAGTGATTGTATGTAGGGAAGAAGGGTGAGGTCTGAGTCAAGGATGACACCTACGACCTTGCATGGGGGAGGGTTGGATAGTTGTGTTAACCATCTCAAAGGAAAAGTTGGGGAAGGTGCACGGGAGGGAGGAAATATGAGCTTAGTTTTTAAAAGGTTGAGTTTTAAGAAGTCTTGCGACATCCAGACTGATATGTCAGTTAGATTAGTGACACGCAAGGACCCTTAGGGGGTGAGCTGTGGAGTAGAAAGATAGATTTGAGTGTCATTGGCATAGAGATGGTATTGGAAGCCATGTGAGGTTATTAACTGACCAAGGGAGGAGGTGTAGATAAAGAGAAGGGGTCCAAGGACAGAGACTTGGGGCACCCCTACAGAAAGAGGAAGGGAGGAGTTGACATTGTCAATGGAAAAAATGCCCATAAAAATATGCACAACAAAACGTGTGTTTTTGAGCATTTCCATTGAAGTCTATGGGGCCAAGAAGTGCAGAAAAGAAGCTTATGTACTTGCTACAAGCGACGGGCATATCAATATAGTTTATGCAGTACAATGTAGTACTATGTAGTTTGCGTAGAGCAATGCTCCTGCTGGCAGATGTACCTGCCATCACTTGCTGTTAGTTTGACAGGACCCACTCTGTGTGTAGGAGATACTGACAGCTTTCCTCTTCAGTGATCAGCGTAGAATCATGTTATGTGGAGCATCAGTACTGTAAATACAAGAGCAGTAGCTTAAAACAGAGCAGTCTATGAAAAGGTGAGTTTTCCCTCATATTAGAAAACCCTAAAGTGCACCATTACACTACTTATGGAATTAGTACAGAGTAAGCTCTCATGAGCAGGGCCTCCTAGCCCATTTGTCTTGAATTGTATTGTAACTGGACTGGCTCCTTTCTTTATTGTAAAGTTCTGTGCAAACTGTTGGTGCTATATCGATTCTGAAAAATAATAATAATAGTTTAACCCCTTAGTGACACAGCTTCAGAATTTTTTTTCGCTTCTAGGGACGGGAGCAATTTAGCCATTTTTGTGTGTTTTGTGTTTGTTTTAGGGATGTCCAGATACCAGTTCAGATACCAGTGCCGATACTTGGCATTTTCACTAGAACTACCAGGGTTGCAGCGGTTGCACCTGGGACCTAGCTCTGGTGCTCCACCACTGTCCTGAAATTATTAGTCTGTATTGTTTTAGAAAAACTGTCACATGACAACAAACAAAAATGTATCAGTACTTGTATCTGGAGGACTTGGACAAGTATCAGTACTGTGCATCCCTTATAAATATTTATATTAAAAAAAATAATGCATTAAAACAGGGATGCACAAATCCCAGGAGCTCCGTATGCTCCTTAAAAATGACAGCCGCCTCCTAACTTTTGAATTTTTCTATAGTCTAGTCCTGAAGTTGGAAAAGTATCTGTACATGTACCGAGTACGGTACATTGTATCTCAACATCCCTAGTTTTTTTAACCATAATTTTCATCTTCCTCATTCGGTGCACCTACACATATTTATTAGGGCTGGTAATGATTAAAATTTGTGTTCGATTAATCAAAATTTTTTAAAATCGATTAATTTCGATTAATTATAACGCATATACAGAGCCAACTACATTGGCCTATACACATACAGCACAGCAATGAAGTAATAAAATGAACTAGGATCACACTAATCCAGCACGTTATTAATCTCACATGCCCCACTCAATATGGCTGCCGCTTGAGTGGGGCAACTCAGAATAATAACGTGCTGGATTAGTGTGATCCTAGTTCATTTTATTACTTCATTGCTGTACTGTATGTGCATAGGCCAATGCCTTGGCTGGTGTTCATGCAGAAAGTTGCTTGGGCAAACTCCCCGGCCCAAGTGGCTCAGTCGGCTAATGAAGGTGGGAGGAGTCCGGTGACGTCACGGACATCGACGTGACCGGACTCCTCCCCCTTCCCTTCGTTAGCCGTCGCGGACATCGACGTCACCGGGCTCCTCCCCCCCTTCCCTTCGTTAGCCGACGGAGCCACTTGGTGAAAGAGTCCGGTGACGTCGATGTCCGTGATGTCACTGGATCGCCGACGGGACTCCCAGAAGCCGGCGGAGAGGTGAGTGTTTTCATTAGCGATCAAAATAATTTTAATCGATCGAAAAGTTTAACGATTAATCGAGAAATGAATCTTTAATTTCCACAGCCCTAATATTTAGATACTGTTTTTTTACCCACTTGAAGACCAGGTGTTTACACCCCCTTCCTGTCCAGGCCATTTTTCAGTATTCAGTCTTGCGGTACTTTGACTGACATTTATTCCGTCATGCAACACTGTACTGAAACACATTTTATACCATTTTTTGGGGACAGATAAGAGTTTTTTTGGTTGTATTTAATCACCACTACGGGTTTTATTTTTTACATGCGTGCCCGCTAGGGGGCGCGCACGAGCACAAAATAATTGCCGTCTGGAGACGGCAACCCGCAAATGCAGCAGTGCCGTCCGTCCGTTTTTTTACTACGGGCGGACGGCAAGAGGTTAAGAAACAATTATTATTACCCAATGTTTTGGTAAAATGTAAAATAGACACCAAACATGTCAAGCCTTAAAATTGCTTCCACCTGCAAAATCGCAAAAAACTACCATATCCAAAATTGACCATAGGGGGCGATTTAAAAGCTTTTACCGCTCATCAGTTTAGTGTTATTGGTGATTAATGGCCCTAGAATTATTGCTCTCACTGCAACATTCGTGGTGATATATAGCATGTGCGGCGTAATGGGCGCAGTCATCACAAACTAGCGTCCTCCCGTCACCCTAGGCTCAGTATACCGCAAATTGTAGCTCACGGTATACTCAGACGCCGCAGCTAAAGCGGATCCCAACAATTATGTCTGGATCCACCCAGCTGCGTGATTGACAGCTGGCTCTGCCTATCTAGAGGCAGAGCCAGCTGTACCCCCTCCCCCGTCCGTTCCGCCAGTCAGCGCTGGCGGATCAGAGTGGGGAATCCAGCCCCTCCCCTGTCACGGAAGAGAGCTGTGACAGGATCGAGAGGTGAGCGAACGCCGGTATGTGTTCACTCACCTACCGATCTACTGAGCCGAAATGTGACAGTCTCATTGTCACAGGTCGGCTAGAACTATGAGGTGAATGAAAAGCACTCACCTCATAGTTCTCCTTTAAGGAACTCGAGATTAAGTGTCACTTTAACTGCTCCTTTTATTTAGGAGGATACGTTAAAAGCAGTTTTCTTTACCTAATCTCCACTCTCGCAGCCTTTTTAACCCCTGCGCTCTGAGGCCTGCTGACATCATCACGCCTAATGTAGGGTCTATAGCCTTGAATGAGGACTGTGATGGACATCAGGGAAGTAAATATAGACATAGAGGAGCAGTTAACCCTTGCAGTGCTAGGGGAGCTTTTCTGTATCCGGAGATAGGCTTTAAACCAAAATGAAAGCCACATGTTGCTGAAGCCTTGAACAGTACCTGCTCATCCTCCTCAGCAGTTCACTATTGAACCAAACTGCTCTTAAAATCTAGCTGAAGCCCCAAGGGGTCGCTGGTGTGGAAATAAAGAAAACTCATCACAGGAGGAAGAGGGTGGGGGAGGGAAAGACTGAGGAAGCGAGAAATGAAAACAACTTTCTTCTTACTTGCACACATTGAAGAAGAAGAAAAAAACTTGCCTACTGTTTTAGAGGGAAAAAAGCAATTGGTAATCTGATGCCACGCTTAACCCTGAGGAGAGAAAGTCACAAGGCTGGGTGCAGAGAAAATACTGCTGCTGCTCTCATCTGCTGCCCTGCAGCTCTGAGCTGGAAGAGAGGCGAGCCTACAAGACAAGCACGCACAGCGACGAGTCCAGGGAAGG